TAAATAATTTGTGGAAACGCTCATTCTCGGCCTTTTACCAAAGACCAGTTTATCTGAACTCTTGTGCTCTGTTTGTCAGACACTGATTGAAGAGGTCTCCATTCCCTTGCTAGCTTGACTTTGTAATCAAAGCGTGGAAAAGGTCCTTTGCTCTGAATGAGGGATGGGCTTGTTTAGGACAGTTTTAAATGCTTTACCAGTTGACATCTCCTATCTGTAAGAAATCTGCTGTTTAAAACTAGTTTAGGGACGTCATACATAGCTGTCCGCTCTGTTCAGTCACCAAGCATTCATAAAAAGCATGTCTTTACCAGTACATTTGAAAATGTTACTAGAGTAACATTTCTGGTGAGGAAATTTGAGGTCCTGACAGGACTTCAAGGTGATAGTCCTCTAGCTGTTCTCCAGCTGACCCAAACTCTGATGAAATTTTGCTGTCTGTTCACTCTTACTCTCAAGGCCTGTTTATTACAGCCAGGCTTTGTGTTCCTCACGGAACATAATTTTTTACTTTACCTTGTTAAGGACTGAGTAGTTATGAGACCTGTACATTCCCAGCAGAAGAAAAATCAGTGTCAAACAACTGATCTGTATCAGCTGTGGCAGAGGCGGGTCTCAACTGCTGACTTGCTTCATTTCTGGATCCAGTGAGAAAACCACTGGGAAGGGTAGCTGCTCCTCTGCTTCACTGAAAGATCTGGAAATAATAATGAAAGACCATCCCACCCCTCAGGAAAAAACAGAAATTTTTTACAGCAATAAAAGAAATCTATCTCAAATCAGCTCAGGCTGGGGTATCGAGATGTGGCTCTAAGGGGTAGTAACAGGCTTATCTTTTGTGAAGGGAAAATGAACTACTTCGTAATGAGATTTTAGACTGAATAAGAATCTAACCCTCAGTGTGGCCCTTGCTCCAAATCAAGCCTTACATGTTTGTTTTTGTTTGTCTAAGTCATTGCACAACCAGGAAGTGGGAGGAAAAGTTGTTTGCTTTCATATTGAGGGAAGTTTGTTCATGAAAGATGCAAGTAAAATGCACCACTGCTTAAGGCTTCCAGATGGTGAGAACTCTATAGTGTTTGGAAACCTGCAGCTTTTGCCTCAGATATTATAGGAAAGTTTATGTGGCTTGTAAAGAATTATTCTGTACTGAAATTAATGTCTGCAGGCTTCTTTGTTTCAAGAGCCTCCCTTGCCACACAGGAGCCCTTAGTATCTACTACTAAAGTGTTTGGGTGGAGGTTATTTTTGTTCTTTTTTTTTAAAGTAGGAAAAAGAGCGGGGGCTATTAACTTTAAAATCAGTTAGAATTACCCCTCAAGGGGAAGTTTTTGTCCGGCGCTCTGTAAATACTCTGACTTAAATATGACTCTTAACGGGTTCATCCCATTCTGGAGTCCTTCTCCTCTCTCACTTGAGCAGGCCTGGTTTCCTGGTAAGGCAGTTCAGTTGACTAAATGACCGGCTAACTAATCATGCCCCCCATTCCCTTCCCAACTGCTTTTAGATTATTAAGAAAAATCATCTCATTATAGGGTTGTGTGAAAGATGGTAGCAGTACAAGGACACAGGGAGGGGACGCACAGCAAGCAGTTGGGAGGGAGCTGTAGCACCCCAATGCTGTTTGGCTTAGGTCACTGTATAAATGACTGAGAGTTAGACCTTATCTTCTTCTCTTTCTATGGAGTGTTCCACACAGCTTCTGTATTTTTTCTCTCATTAGATCTTTACATCCTTCATACATGTTCTCTTATCTTTCACGCCACCTGTACTGCTTACGGATCAGGTTTCTTTCATCCCATCAGTTTGGGAGAAGCAATATTTCTAATAACGCCTTTCTTACTTGAAAATATTTTTGGCCATGTGAAACAAAGCATCTGCATGTGATGACTTGTTGACAACTTTCATGGGAATTGCTTGCGGTGGTGAGACTGATATGTTCATAGGTGCATAGCCTGAAAGAGGTTAAGTTTTTCTTCTCTACTTTCTTTGCAGTCTGATTTTACCTAAATAAAACTTATTTTGCACTTGTGTATTCATGTTGCATTTGGCACCATTCTACGCAGTCTGCCCATAAAACCTTAGTGTCCCAGATTTAGCTAAGTTATTATCATTCGGGTATTTATTATTCTTATTAATATTGTCAAATGTAAGTGAGCCAAGTGCGTGCTTCACAGCCTTACTAATATTTAAGTGACTTTGTATTGTATTGTTTATCTACACAAATGTATCTGAACATGCTTTGGTATTTGCTGGTATGTTGTGCTGGCTAAATTAGAGGTGTTGGAATTTGTCAGACTCCTTTTGTGTCCCTCCCCCAGCCATTTTCCCAGAGCCTGAGTAACCTCTTCTTCCAAAGGAGAATGTTTATACAACTTTGGATGGCTCACCAAGTACATGAAGTTTTGATTTTGAATGACTAGAGAACAGCCAGCAGCAGTGCTTTTTTATGCTCTTGGAAGTGTTAACTCTTCAGTTTGTTTATGGCAGTGGTAAGCATGAGGATGAGCACACAGCATATTTTTATATCGGCAGAGAATCGTTCAAAGCTGAAGCGCTGCCTGTCTGCCATTTGCAGTTGGCAGCAGCCCATGTGGAAGGAATCCTTGTAGGAAGCGAGGTGGTTGCTGTACTAGACAGAGGACTCTGTTCCAGCAGCTCTCCTGTTTTGGTTAATTCTCCGCCCTTTGACAGATCTTGTCTGTACATCTTTTTCTGTGCTGTGTTTCCAGGAAGGCTGCAAAGAAGTCTGTGGCTTAGAGAAACACAGTGTCGAGGCTGAACTTTTAGTGTTAATTTTAACAGGCTGAACTTTTAGTGTTAATTTTAACATTTAAAGGAGGCAGTTGTTCAAAATATAAACTCTTAAATACAGTATTTGATATGGCTACATGATTTGTGACGTTCCCATTAGGTTCCAGGGGAAAATCCCCTTAACACAGTGGTGCGTGATGTTAGAAATGTATGTCTCCTTTCAAAGATACTACAAAACAAATATCCCAGGAATACTGGCTTTTTCAGTTTAGGACATGTGATGAAGGTCCCAACTTTTCACACGAAACTTGATAGTAATTGGAAGTGTTTTGTCTTGAATTTGTTTTTTACGTGACTCCCACTGGAATACAGCTTTGTCTATCAAGCTGGTTTTAGGAGGACCGCCAGGGAAGCAGTGTGCCTGCCTGTACTGTGTCCGTATCTTGAGACTCGCTGATCATAGAATCATAGGTTGGGAAAGACTTCTAAGATCATCAGTTCCAACCATCTGCCCAACACCGTCATGCCTACTAAACCATATATCCCAAAGTGCCACATCTACACATTTTTT